TGCCACCATGCCCAGCTAATTTTTTTTTTGTATTTTTAGTAGAGACGGGGTTTCACCATGTTGACCAGGATGGTCTCGATCTCTTGACCTTGTGATCCACCCGCCTCGGCCTCCCAAAGTTTTTTTTCCTTTTTATACCAGTCAGACTTTTGACCTCCCTCTCCCTGTGCAAACCAGTAAAAGACCTTGGGATTTTTTGAACTGTCCTTAACCCTCCCTTGTGTGTTTTAATACATGTTTTCTAATAACTCTGTTTGTCTCTTCTCACCTTCAGGCCATCAGACTCCAAATGGTCATGCAACCGGAGCCACGGATGATGGCCCCTTTTGCTGGAGACCCTTAGATAGGCCTCTGAAGAAGATCTGACCACCATTTTCCCAAAATAGAATCGACCTTATGGCTCAAACACCTCCCACCCCCTGTCATTAGGGAGCAGTTAGGATTGGTTTTTGTTCTTATCCTTATCTTTATTCTAACAGAAGATAGATGTACATTTTTAGAGCGGGGAATGAGGCAGCCAAATGCCTAGCCAGATAATAAAGGGTCCCTGGAGAATCTCTGAGCGGCCCCACAAGTATTTGCATTAGATGTTTTCGTGCAAATGAGGGAAGCTTCTCAGGGCTTATCTGGGCATGCCCACAGTGGACTGGAGCCCAACAAGCACACTAGCGGGTGGAGCTATGGGGAATTCAAACCTTATGCAGGGGAGAAACCTGCTTTCTTCAGTTTATGTGGTGACCTGGGAATCAATCTATGAGGTAGAGGACCTATTAGCAGGTCTCCATCTCACTTTGCTGAGTTTTTTTCTTTCTTTTTTTCCAATAAAGTCCTGCTGTATTCACCCTTCAATGTGTCTGTGTGCCTAAATTTTTCTGGTCATGTGACAAGAACCTGGATTTTAGCTATTCTAAGGAGCAAAGTTCTACAGCATTTCTCCACTACTGGTTTTTAAATAAATAAAGCTGAAATACTAATATAATCTTGTCTTTCAAATTTCAAAAGACAATCCTTTACTCTCCCCTCGTCCTCTTTAAAAGAGGTCTGGCTGAGTCACTAGGCCGTTGCTATTTCAAGTGTGATCCTTGGACCAGCAGCATCAGGAGCACCTGGGAGTTGTTAAAATGCAGAACACTTGGCTTGCTTGAACCAGAATCTCCATTTAAATAGGATCCGCAGTTGTGCTTCATATACATATTAAAGGTCACGCTGTGTTCCAAGGCTCCGGCTTTCTCCAAGTAAAGGTACCATCTTTTGCTCCTCTTGTCTCTCCTGGCCCTGGACCCATAACGGCTTTCTGCTGTCACTAGTCCCTTGTTAGACTGTGTAACTCTGTCAACATCTCTGTAAATATATCCTTTTAAAATTTAATTTTTAGTCAAACACATTTAAGTACACAGTCTGTTTCCTGATAACTGGTACATATTATCCATCTTAATATCTCTATATCTATGTTGATAGCTACATACATACGCTCTCCATTTTTATCTCTGTAATACTTTTAGCATCTCTACCTCTTCCTGAAATTCAAAACAGCCATTTTAATGTTTTTTTTTAAAAGTATTAGGACCTTTTCCCCAGTTACAACTAAATAATATCAAATCATATATATAATAATTGCCCCAAAATGAAAAGTCAGTTTTGAAGAAAAATTAAGGACTTCTGTGAATCTGGAGAAGAAAGCAAGACAGTACTTTGTGTTTGTATAGCTGTTTGGTAGGCAGCCTCTAAATTGCCCCACGGTAATCCCTGCCTGCTGAGTTTTACACTGTTTTGTAATCTCCCTCTCTTGAAAATGGACTGAAGTTACTGAGTTGCTTCTAACGAATAAGAATATGACAGAAGCGATGAAATGTGACTTCTGGGATTAGGTTATAAAAAGATGGTGGTTTTTGTCTTGAGCACTGATACTCTGTCTTGCATTCCTCACCTCGGAGGAAGCTGGCTGCCATGTTGTTAGGGAAGTCCTGTAACGGGGCTTTACCTGGGGAGAAACTGAGAACTACTGACATACAGATAAATGAGCTTGAAAGTGGATCCCCACTGTCCCCACCCCCACCACTGAACGCTTCAGACAAGAAGCACCAGCCCCAGACATTAACTGCAGTAATAAAATTAAAACTTAAGCCAAATTAAATTGAAAGCACTTTAATTGAGCAATGAATGATTCTTCAATCAGGCAGCCTCCTGAGCCAGAGTAGGCTCTGAAACTCTAGTGCAGCCACGTGGAGGAAGAAGATTTACAGACAGAAAAAGGAAAGCGATGTACAGAAAACAGAAGTGAGGTACAGAAACAGCTGGATTTGTTACAGGTTGGTGTTTGCCTTATTTGAACACAGTTCAAACAGTTGGCCACATTTGATTGGCCAAGACTTGGTGATTGGCACAAGGGTAAGCTGCTGTCTGTTCACACCTCCACTGATTATAGTTCACGGTATACAGATAAACCTTTAGGTGGACTTAAAATACGTAAGGAGCCAGCTTTACCTGAAACTTGATTTAAACTTTTCCCCATTTTGGTCATCTTCTCAATTTTGAGAGGTTGATTAAAAACTTTGGTCATTGATGTCACCCTCACCATCATAAATATGGTCTTATTTGGTCTTGAAATCCACTGGGAAATAGAGCAGTAGGTTTTGCAAGGTGAGAACAAGGACTGAGTAGATGGTACCTCTTTATACTGGAACGTCCTGTTTACAGGAGAAAAACAAAACCTGGTCTTTTCTATGATCTATGTGTTTTCTTAAAGCCTTGTTTGATTATGTCACATTTAGCATGAGTGACTCCATTTTGCTTTCATCTGGTCTGTTGAGGCCTAGTGCGTGAGCTCAGTCTAAAGCAATTGCCTGACATGATTTTGTTTAATAAAACTCCCCTCTTTTGGTTAGATTCTTACTTAGGTGAGAGTGTGACCAAGAGGTAGGGCCTAGTACCACTCACAGTTATCATCATTTGGGGATTCTGGTCGCAGCATGTCATTCATAGGTCATGGTGCCCTCATGGCCTGACATTTATTTTAGCTCTTGTCATTTTAGTTTGAGTGAATACAGCATGATGATAGAGAGGATAATACCAAAAGTGAGGGGTATGTTCCTTGCCCACGGTCCCCATAAACCAAACCACCTAGAATTAAATAGATTAAAAATGAGCTATATAAAGAGTCTACTCATTTAAGTAAGCAGGCTCTTCATTAATTCCCTACAACTGAATTTCTATAATTTACATATGATGTATTTTTCCGTAGACCACAAGTGCCCACAGCTGCACAGATAATTCTGTGTAGCCAGTAAGTAATCTAGAGCAATTCTATTATTTAGCATGACTTGCACAAGAGAATTAAAAGTCTCTTGGGTCACTATAGCCTTTACGGTAGAGTCTGCTGTAGAGCCTATCATGAGGGATACATTTCTAATCATTGCCTCTTTTACTCCAAACCATGAAAAATGGACCACACAAATGATGCCTTTCTAGAAGAGTGAAGGCCTCTGGGAAATTTTTTCTTTAGCCCATGATGTAGGTTAAGAGGGGTGAACCAATATTCTGTTTCTGACTGATTATGAGGCAAAGTATGTACCATTAAAATTTCTCATCTATGTGTGACCTTCATCTTCCATCTATTAAGGTATAAGGTTATCCATGTCTAAGACTGGCTGCAAAATCCTTCACAAATAAAAGTAAACCCCATGAGTGTACACAACAGATCCCCTTTTCACTTCTATTGTCCTTAGAGGCATAAGCAAGGGAAAAATTATTAAAAGGTAAGAGTCTCATGATAGTAGAGAAGTCTTGATCCGTGATCTTGGGAAAAGCTGTTCATATCAAGACTGCCAAGTTCTTTTGGGGAGGAACTTCCCTGGTTGGCTTTACCTTAAGGGTTTCAATGGGTGTACAGTTCCAAGAGTGTGAAAAGAACCTTCTTGGTTGTGAGATTATAAACTCAAAGTTCAAGGTCCTGTACTTTTGCTGTAGTATTGATGGAAAGGGCAGTCTTTCTCTGATGTTCTCAGAAGATGCAATCTTAAGGTTCTAGATTGTAATGAAGTTGATTGTCCTCAGCCATAAGATGCTTTCTTTACCTGGTGAAAATACCCTGTGGCATGACAGTCTACATAGCATCAGCCCTTTTGTATGGGAAAGCTATAGTACAACCAGAAAACATGCACTGTTCATGACAATTGAATTAAATCCCTCTATAAATGTTTAAATGGCTCACCAGGTAGCCAAATGTACCTGAAGCTTTGATTGTCTTCCCAGGAATATGGGTTTGACAAAACAAACATTGGTTATAAACAATTTCAGCAATTTAGAAGTCACCACACAAATATATATTTAATTTGGATGATCTTATTTTTTTCATGATGAGTCATGGAATGCAGAACCTTTAATAATGAAAGCTTCAAGGACTCAGGAAGGACAAGGCTGCTGTCCTGGTTCTCCATGAGTCCATGCTTAACACTGGTCTTATATCCTCTTGAATGCTGGTTTTTTCTCCAATTTAGATGTATAGCACTGATAACTGATGGGTTATCATAGGCAATTTGACTTAGACCATGCAGTTCATCCAAGTTGTATATCTGAACAATTTCAGTATTGACTGATTTAGCATGAAAATCTGGCAATTTTTTTGGTATTCAATTAAATTTTGTTCTAATTGGGTTAGCAGGTTTATAAACCAGTCTTTTAATTATGGTTCCAGGAATTCTTATATACTCTGAATGTTATGATTCTAAAGTTACCAGAAACCTGTATTCAAGAGTGCTTTTCAGGGTTCTTTCCATTCTTTCATGAGCCTCCTAAAAGACACTATATTCTAGAATTCTGAGTGATTGTGAAATTTTTGGAAACTGCATCAGAATTAAGCAATTAACCATGGAAATGACTTTAAACACTCATAAAGACACAAGTGACAAATAAATCTGATTATTTCTGTGGTCTACATAAACTTAATAACCATAATTATGATTAATAGCATATAATCAGACATATTAAAATTTTAGAAATTCCATACAATTTTGGAACATATATTAACATCATTCACTAAAATGTAACCTGAAGAAGGTTAAACATTATTTTTTATTTTGACCATGCTCCCTATGTAACTTAACATGTCAAATAATTCTGTTTACCTCTCTTTTCAATGCTTCAGGGGCTTTCTGTAGCATCCGAAAGTTAGAGGTCGGAGAAGACAATTTTGAAGCTGAAATTTGATTTTGGGAAGCCTGTCAAGTATGTTGAAGGTTTAAAATACTTGACATTATAAAATAGAATTCCAGGTCACCATAACTTATTCATTTAGCCAAAATAATGACTCAAAAAATTTAAAAAGGCAAAAACCTTTACTCATTGATAGAGGGAAGACTTAGCTTTCCAAAAAAATTGCCACTTGTCTTTTCCTTCTTTTTCCTGTAGTTTATTCAAAAGGCAAAAAAAAAATTTGATAATTCTTCAATATTACGTGAAAATCTTGTTCAAGAAAGCCAAATTTTAAGCTTGCATTAGTGTACTATTAATGTCAATAGTGTACTATTAATGCCAATTTTTAATAAAACCTTATATATGAATCTATCCAATCTTAAACAGTTTGACCATAAGGTGAGATGCTCATAAACCTTTTATAACACTTTATGAATTTTTGTTAAAAAGTAGATCAGAGGTCTAAGAAAATTCTGTTTTGCTTTTACTCCAGTGTTCAATTTATAGAAAAATTCAATAATACTCCTTTAATTTTCACGAGATATTTCTTTTACAAGATTAGTCTTTCACAGAATTTTCAAAACTTATTCAAAACTTCAGCTTTATTCTAATTTAAAATAACCTTTTAACCCTTTAATCTAAGCAAAACAATCCACATT